GTGGCCCCTCCAACAAGTCGGTGGACGTGGTGGCAGGTGCGCTGGGTCAGCCACGGGCTGTGCCGGGATGGCGGGCCCGGTCAGTCGCTCACGCCCGGACCGCCCCCAGGAATGCTCCTGAGCAGAAGGGCCGAGCTGAAGCCCCTCCGTGTGTACAGCGAGCAGGCGGAAGCCACCGAGTTCCCAGTGCCGGGCGTGAGCAGCCGGGGCCCGGCCAGGAAGACCCCTCGGGAGGGAAGGCCTAACCAGAGCCTCAGGTGCCGCCTCTCTGTCTGTCTGTCTGCCTCTGGTGGAGGGAAGAGGCCCTCGCAGGCTCATGGTCCTGCCTTGGGCCGTGGGCAACACGGGGCTTCACGGGGTTCTCCCGCCAGGACCATCACGCTGCACCACCGGATCCGGCAGTCCTCCAACCCCTTCGCGCCCTCCATCAAGGCCTTTGACACCCAGCTGCAGAGGGGGGAGGTGCTCCCCGAGGAGGACCTCGCCAGGTAAGCAGCGGGCCGGTGGAGTGGTCTCCTGGCGTGGGCCCCGGGTGACCCGCAGCGCCCCTCGCAGGTATAAGAAGATCCTGGGGAAGGCGAAGAAGTTCGAGCTGGACCGCCACCGCGTCATCCTCTGCACGTGCTCATGCGCGGCCTCGGCCAGCCTCAAGAACCTGAACGTCCGGCAGATCTTGGTGGACGAGGCAGGCATGGCCACGGAGCCCGAGACCCTCATCCCCCTGGTGAGCTTCTCCCACACCGAGAAGGTGAGCCGCGGGGATGCAGACGGCGCGCAGGGAGGGCAGGTGAGGCGGGGAGCCTCGGACGCACTGGTGCCTCTGGCTCGGGGTCAGAACCACCCCTGCCCTCCAGGTGGTTCTTCTCGGGGACCACAAGCAGCTGCGGCCCGTGGTCAAGAACGAGCAGCTGCTAAACCTGGGGCTGGACAGGTCTCTCTTCGAGAGGTACTCCAGGGACGCCTGCCTGCTGGACACGCAGTACCGCATGGTGAGCCCCGCTGTGCCTGCCTCCCCCCGCCCACCCCTGCGCCCACCGGCCTTCTCCTGGGCCCAGGGCGGGGGGCAGCCTGTCCCTGGCTCACGTTCTTCCTGCAGCACGAGGGCATCTGCAGTTTCCCTTCCATGGAGTTCTACCAGAAGAGGCTGAGGACGTGGCCGGGCCTGCGGCGGCCGCCCAGCGTGCTGGGCCACGCCGACAAGGAGAGCTGCCCTGTCATCTTCGGCCACGTGCAGGGTCACGAGCAGAGCCTGCTGGTGTCCACGGATGAAGGGAACGAGAACTCCAAGGCCAACCTGGAGGAGGTGGACGAGGTGGTGAGTGCCAGGCGGTGCCCCTTGGTCAGGAGGGCTTCCTGGAGGAGGAGGCAGAGGAGCTGAGGAGACAGGCGAGGTCCGGGGCCCGGGGGGAGGCCCCAGGCCTGCTCCACTAGCACCCCTCGGTCCTTCAGGTTCGCATCGCCAAGCAGCTGACCCTGGGCGGCACAGTGAGCCCCAAGGACATTGCCATCCTCACGCCCTACAACGCGCAGGCTGCCGAGATCAGCAAGGGCCTGGCGCGTCAGGGTGTCACCGGCGTGGCAGTGTGCTCCATCACCAAGAGCCAGGGTGAGGCTGGCGGCCTGGGCAGGGCTCCTGGGCCTTCGGGCAGGACGGTGTCCTCACTGTGTCCCTTCCCCAGGGAGCGAGTGGCGCTACGTGCTGGTGAGCACCGTGCGCTCCTGCCCGGAGAGCGACCTGGACCAGCGGCCGACGAAGAGCTGGCTGAAGCGGTTCCTGGGCTTCGTTGTGGACCCCAACCAAGTGAATGTGGCCCTCACCCGGGCCCAGGAGGGGCTCTGCCTCATCGGTGAGAGCTGCGGGGGGCTGGCTGGGGGGCTGGGCGTGGCTGCTGCCGGGGGCCGTGCTGACTCCGCCCTCTCGCAGGAGACCACCTCCTGCTGCGCTGCTGCCCTCTGTGGCGCAGACTCCTGGACTTCTGTGAGGCCCAGCGGAGCCTGGTCCCCGCCGGCCAGGTGCGGGTCCGGAGGAGGCCAGCAGTGCTTGTCTGAGGGGCCCACCCAGCCGTCCACCACCCTCAAGCTGGCCAGCCAGCCAGGAAAAGGCCAAGCCCTCCCCGCTGGCTGCCTTGGCCCGCTCCGCGGAATCCCACGTGCCTTCTTCAGGAGCCATGGCCGCTGGCCTGGTCCCCGCCCCTGGCCGGGCGTGGTTGCAGCGGCCCCCGGGGCGTGCACGGCAGCACCTTCTGGAGTCTGGCCTTGTCCCGGGGGAGCATGGACTCGAGAGGAAAGAGGTGGTCCGGGCTCTTGCTCCCGGGGTTGACCTGCATCTGCTGCTACTGTGGTGCCGGTGTGGGGCCCCTGGGAAGGTCTGGGGCCCAGAAGGCGATGTCAGCTCTTTGGTCTGTGGAAGCCACACGGGGCCATGGAGCTCAGCTTTATTTTCTACTTTAAATAAACCCAAACTCAGGGCAGAGAGGCTTCCCTGCACCCACAGCCCTCCCTGAGGCCAGATCCCCGGACCTCCCTCCCACAGCGGGGCTCCCGAGGGCTGTGGGCGGGGCTGCCAGGAGGCTCCTGGGAAGCTCCCGCCCACACTCCCCCCACTGCGCGTGGCCAGGTCAGGACAGCCTGCCTGCCCAGTGTGTCCGGAGGGCTTTGAGTCCTGCCTTCTCTGGAAGCCTCTGTCCCCCACCAAACCCACCCCAGGCAGCTCCGACCTGGGGCTCAGGGGCGATGGCCCCATGGGCTGCGGCTGCAAAGCATTGTGTGCCCGAGGAGGGCAGCCCCGTGGCCTTGCTGCAGGGCCCACAGGGATGGGTCTGTGCCTGTCCTGAAGTTTTCTACAAATCAAATCTCTACATTCCAATTTTGTATCTTTTCTTGGACTATTATATGATTGAACATTAATTTTGTTATAAAGGCCACTCTGCTTTCTCACCTCTGGGTGTTTTGAGGCCTGTCTGGGGGCACAGAGGGTAGCCCTTCCTCTTACTTGGGTGGCAGAGGGGCTGTAGGCTGTCCAGCATGTGGCAGGTCCTCTGCCAGGACCAGGGAGCTGGAGGCCGGCGGGGACGAGGCCACACCGTGTGTTCAGGTGTGGCAGGTGCGCCCCGCCCTCTGAACTCTGGTCTGAGGCCCCGCAGTCTAAGTCTGAAGTCCCCCCTGCTCCGGCGGGCCCTGTGCCACCAGGACCTTGGGCAGCGCATGGCCCCTGGGGACTGGCCTGGGCTGTTCATTCCCCTTTGTGTGGCTGAGCCCCGGCCTCCCGGAGAGCAGCTCAGGAAGAGGAAGGGGGCCAGGCCCTGGCCTCTTGAGTTAGCAGGGGTGGTGGATAGGTCAGGAGGTCACAGAGAGACCAGACACAGCAGGCCTCTGTGTGCCCTGTGTTGGCTGTGAGCCCAAAGGGAGCCGCTAGCCACCTGGAAGAGGCCTGCCCCATGGGCCACCAGCTGAGAAACCGACAGCACCTGTGAAAAGGGCTAAGGAGAGAGGAAAGTGCCTGAGGCAGGGAGTTAAGACCTCACCAACCTGGAGTCTGGGAGGGCTTCCAGGAGGAAGAGGTATTGAAACCCCAAGTGTGCTGCAGTAACCAGGGGGTTGGGGGTGCGGGAGGCAACTACAGGGCAGAGCTGGGCTGGAGGCGGGTCCGGCACAGACCAGCATCCTGGCCTCAAGGGCTGCACTTAGTAGATGCATCAGAGCTGCTTACAGTGAGGGACCCGAGGCTCTGGGTGAGGGCACCAGCAGGAGACGCAGAATGAGCCGGGTGCCCTCTGCACCTCCCTCTGTCGGACTGGTATGACTCAGCACAAACCCCAGTCCCTGCCCCGGGCCTGCTTTACCCCTGCTCCCTCCGTTTCTGAGCAGCTCGGGGCTTGGCCCTTTGACTCCTGCAGGACATGCGGGCGAGCACGTCTCAGCACGAGGCCAGAGCGCGGGGCGCACAGTGGGGCAGGCCTGGGAGAGGAGCCCCCAGGCTGAACCCTGCCTGCCTGGGAGCACCCTGTCCATGTGGGGAGCGGTGCTGGGGCTTTTCCGTCAGAGTTGGGGACCCCCTTCACCACTTCTCCGACAGTGGGAGAGGGGCTGTTTCTGATCATCCTTGATCACACGATTCTCTCAGGGTCACCTGGTTGGTGTGCTGGCCATCCTCCTCAGCCACTACCAGGGGACATAGGCTGTCCCGGCTCCTGTTCAAGCCGCAGGAGCAGGTGGGCTCTGACGTCCACATTACCTGTCAGAGCGAGGTGCGTACGGGGAGGGGCACTCTGGGCGCACGGGGTCACAGGACCACACTGCAGGGCAAGGGCAGACTATCAAGGCCACATCAGGGTGGTCACCCACAGGGGGCTGGGCAGCAGGAGCTAGAGGGAGGGGCAGTGGCTGGAGGGAGGACCACACCCAAGAGTAGCTTATGCTGGCCTGTGTGCTGGGGGTGCCCCCTGCCGGGCGCCCTTTCCTGAGATCTCACCCACCTCTGGATGGGGTGCCGATGAACTTCAGCTCCATTTTGGGGAAAGATAAGACTTTTATTGTCATTTTAAAAATAAAATGTCCTTTTGGCCTCAGGCACTCTGATAAAGCCGGGGGGGAGAGTGATGGGCCATGACCGCCCCTGAGGAGTCGGGCAGGACCTGGGGGACTGCCCCCCTGGGGAACCGGGCCTAAGAGGGAGAGAGGCGTGATCACGGGGAGGGGCTGGGGCTGGCGTGGCCGAGCCCTGGGGCAGCTGTCATGCTGGAGGTGGCATCCTGGTGCCAGGGCTGACGCTTCTTGCTCTGGGACCAGCCGTCCAGGAAGGTCCAGCCTGAGCTCCCCTCCCCCCGACCCAAACAGCTGCGGGGCCTGGGGCTCGTGAGAGTGCTGGGCCGAGTCAGGAAAAACACCATGGGCTGCCGCTGCCCGCAGGACGTAAGCAGTGTGCTTCTTCAGCTGTGTGTGCGTTATGCTCCTCTTTATTAGTGGATAAATACTAGAAAACCATCTCTCGGAAGCTGCGGTCAGGGGCAGCCCGGCTTGCCCAGCCGACGGGGGCGCGGCCCCTCGGGCAGCCCCGGCCGGGTCTGCAGTGTGAGGCTGTCCCGCCAGGGCTCGTAGACCAGCGTGTAGCTCTCCGCCCTCTTGACGGTGAACTTGTAGACGCGGTTGGGCAGCAGGTTGTGGACGTTGAAGGTGCAGGCGGCCACGGGGATGATGCCGCGCTGCAGGTACTCCTGCTGTGTCCGTGGGTCCAGCAGCTTGAAGCGCAGCTCGAACTGCTCGGGCACCGCGGGCTGGATGGTGACGAACCAGCGCAGGGCCACCCAGTCCTGGTGGGCCACCGACTCCTTGCGGTCGAACATGACGGGCATCTTGGTGCTGAGCATGAGCCGGATGTGCGGGATCTTGGTGGCGCCGACGTCAGACACCAGGCGGTGCTTGATGTGCAGGCGCCCCGGCACCATCATGGCCAGGAAGTTGTCCATGACGGCCGCCAGGTCCGCCAGCCGCTGTTCCACCAGCGCCCAGCCCCCCAGGAAGGGCCGCGGGTCGGGCGACTCGAGCAGGGCATCCAGCTGGGCCCGGCCGCGGTCCAGCTGCTCCAGCAGGTCTCCGAGCAGCAGGAGCTGGATCTTGGTCTGCGCGGTGCCTACCTGCTTCATGCGCTGGAACTTCCAGGGGTCGATGAGCTGGAACATGGTGCTGGGCAGCACCAGCGGGTTCTGGTCGCCCAGGGCCAGGTGCTTGGGCAGGATCTCGATGTGGTAGGAGCACTTCCTCAGCAGCTCCATGCGGGCGTGGTGGCGCTTCAGCAGGTGGGCGCTCAGGTCGCAGGCCAGGAACTCCTGCAGGGCGTTGCGACGTGCTGTGTAGGTCCTCCAAGCCTCCGGCTCCAGCAGCTGCCGGTCCTCAGCCTCCTCCACCTCCTCCTGGTCCAGGAAGGACTGGGGACTGTCCAGCTTCATCTTGTCCAGGCCCAGGCCTGTCACCTGGAAGCTCATTGTCTGGAGGGAGGTGCAGGGTGAGGCGTGAGTGGGAGCAGCCAGGCAGGCCTCTGTGCCCACCTGGGCTCACTTAGGGCCGTGTGTGTGCGTGTGTGCGTGTGCGTGTGTGTGTGTGTGTATGTGTGTGTGCGCGTGTGTGTGAGAGAGGGGGGGGGGGAGAGATTCGGGCCCATTTACCCCCACACGGGCCCTCTGTCCTTCCTGGTGGGAGGACCTTGTGGGGAGCACCTTTCTCTACAAGAGGCTGCCTGGAGGGCCGGGTGGGCAGTCATTAAAAGAAGGCATTTAGAGCCCTCGCTGGTTAGGCTCAGTGGATAGAGCATCAGCCTACAGACTGAAGGGCACATGACTGGGTAGCGGACTCTATCCCCAGTAAGGGTAACTCAGGAGGCAGCCAATCAATGATTCTCTCTCATCATTGATGGCTCTATCTCTCTTCCTCTTTGGAATCAATAAGAAATAATTTTTTTTTAATAAGTAGGTATTTAGCGCAAACACTACTGATGATTGGTTGTGAGGACGCAGGGCAGGGCTAAGACCAGGGCTGGGCTCTGGGGCCAGAATGACTTGAGCAAAAACCTCAGCCACGGCCCAGCTGTGCAGCCTGACAAAAGTGTCGGGCCCTCGTTTGAAATGGGGTTACAGTGCTCCTCGGGGCCACGGAGACTCAGTGTGATCCTGTCTGAGCAGCACCGGACTCCCCTTGGGACACCACTGCCCTACAGACCCTCCACACCTCACTGCTGGTGCCTGCAGGGGGCCAGGCTCACTCCAGGACAGCCCGGGGGGACCAAGGCCAGCTGGGAGGTAGGTTATTCCCCATCCCCGAGGACTGACCCTGCTAGCTCCAGCTCCCGGGCCCTGGGTGTCCTGGGGCCACCAAGGCCTTAAAGAGCCACTGGCTCCCTGGGAAAGGCCCAGAGGCTGAGTCGGACACTCCCTCTTACAGGTGGGCGCCGAGCCTAAGTGCTTTGCAACTGGCTCTCACTTAGGGCTCTCACTCTAAGGCCAGCCATGGCCCCCAGCCTGGAGCTCCTTTGGGGCCACAACTCCCTCAGGCTTCCAGCTCTGGGTGTCAGTGCTCCCACACCGGACGCAGCCACAGTGAGGAGACTACTCCCTGCAAGCTGGGGCTCCCTGGAGGAGGCAGCATCCCTGCTGCTGTCCCAGGTCCTAGCCGCCCCTGGGCCCCGGCCTGCCCCTGGGGAAGCTCTGGTTGTCCCAGCAGCCAAAGGCCGGGAGTGCCAGGGCCCAGTAACTGCAGTGACTTGCCCAAGAAACCACCAAGTGGCAGGGTAAGGTCCTTGCCCTTCCCGGGGCAGAGGAGCCAGAGGAGGCCCGGGCACCACAGAGGCTGTGGGGCTGAGGTGCCAGCTGAGCCCAATCCCAGGACTTGGCCTCTGGAGGGAACTCTTGCCCCTGGATCTGGCTATGGGTGGGGATGTTCCCCATCGCCAACAGCCTCCCAGGTGAAAACCGAGATCGGTGGTGTAAATGCCCAGGAGGGGTCACCTGGAGTCCTGGCCAGCCTCCTCCACCCCTTCTCCCGACCCCTCTCCCCAAGCCATGCCCTCCCGCCACCCCCTGGGACCTGCCCACCTCCGCCTCCCCACGTCCCCTGCCCCCGCCCCCCTCCTCCAGCCCGGTGCCCACTTGCCCTGCCTCCCGGAGCTCCGTGCGGCTGACTGTGCGCAGAGCGGGGCGTCCAGTTTCGCACCGTGGCAACCAGCGGTTGCCATGGGGATCGCGGGTCTTTGTGACGCCCCGCGGCGGGGGAGTGGGGGCGGGTGGGCGGAGCCCAGGGCTTAGCGGGGAGACCAGTCTGACCCGGAGCGCCCCGCGGCCGAGGCACTGTGGTGGCTTTGCTCTCTCCTCTGGGCGGCTCCGAGCAGCGCGGGTGGGGGTCCCTTCCGAGGAGCTGCCGGCCTCGCCCGGCCCGCCCCCGGGGTCGCCCGCCCCAGGCACAGGCGGGGCTCCCCCCGCCCGGGGCAGGGGCGGGGCTCCCGGGGCGGGGCGGGGCTCCCGGGGCGGGGCTCCCGGGGCGGGGCTCCCGGGGCTCCCGGGGCGGGGCTCCCGGGGTGGGGCTCCGGGGCGGGGCCTGGGCTCCGGGGCGGGGCCTGCAGCCGGTGGGTGACTTCCAGGGGTTCCTCAGTGGAGCTGCCAGAAGCGGGGCCATGGGCACTGGCAGGTGGGCAGTGCTGGTCCCCCTGGGGAAGGTGCTGCCGGCTTCCTGTCCCACGCTGGGCCCCATCCGGGTCTGGACAGATGGGGTCTCCACAGCTTCCATGGCCCCTCAGAGGTACTCTCCGCTCCGGCTCCAGGTCCAAGGACGGCGGGTCTCCTGTGCCAGCTCTGAGCAGGGCCTTGCCATCTGGCAGTGGGCAGGTCCATAGGCCTCAGCATTTCATTCAAACCTGGGATGTGACCTGAACCATCTTCCCTGAGTGCGGTGGGTCAGCTGGCAGTGGTGGCCACCACAGTCTCTGGGGTCTGGATGGACACTGGGCAGTCTCCCCCTCAGCCCAGCATGCACAGAGGCGGCGTGCTGGGTGAGAACAGGACCTTGTGAGGGTCCTGCCCCAGCTGGGCCGGCCTGAGCCCTGTGTGTTCTTGCCGACCAGCCTAGGCCTCAGCCTCAGCCTCAGCCAGGCCACTGCCAGCCCCTGGGAGAAGCTGGAGTCTCAGGAAGGTGCCCCTGGCCCTCACCCCATGCCTGGGACCAAGCAGTCAGCGATGGGGAGGTGCCCAGTCACCCAGGCGTGGAGGACAAAGCCAGAGCTTCTCCCGGAAAAGGCTGGCAGGGTTGGGAAGGGGGGCTGCCAAGAGGAAGCGCTAATGACTGTTGCCTGGCTGAGATGAAAGGGCTGCCCAGCCCCCGGGCCTTCGCCCCGACACCGTCCCTGGCCCAGGCTGGCTGGCGGGCTGGGCCCTCAACCCCACAGTGAGGCCTCATTGCTTCCAAGCTGCTGAGGACTCCACCACCATCTTATTTCGCCCACGGCCCACACCCCAGGGAGGGACCCTGAGAACATCCCTGCAGCCCAGGGGTGCCCAGCTCTCCCCCCGCCCCCCCCCCCCAGGCCCTGGGGCTGCAGGGAGGCCGGGTGGGAGCCTCTGGTTCTCCTTGTCCCCACAGCCCTGCTGTCCCGGGAAGGCTGCTGAGCGCCTTCGCACCTGAGCTGTTCTCCGCCAGCAGGCCCAGCGGCAGGCTGTGGACGAGCCTGGCCTCCTCAGAGCTCCCAGTCAGTGTGTCCCTGAGCTCGCTGCCCGCCAGGTTTGTCTCTGGGGACCCGTGTAGGTCCATGGTCCTCCATCCTTCCCCACCTGCCTGTCTGCTGATTCCACCTCCCAGTGTTTCCCAGCCCTCTGCCTCTCCACCCACTCCCACCACTTCTCCTGTCTCCCGTCTTCCCTCCAGTCTAGGCCAGCCCCACAGCTCTGGCCACACTGGTTTCCAGACCCTCTCCATAGCTCTCCAGGAGGGTGCACGTTTGTCTCTGCCCCTCCTCCAGGCCCTGCCCTTGCCCCTGGCTTCAGCAGCACCCACCTGCACAGCTCTGTCACCCGGTCCCCTCTCTGGGGGCACCCCCACCTTGTGCTTACTCGCTCTGAGTCAGACTTTGGGTCCCCAGGTGAGCTGAGAGCCAGTACCTCTGCTGTCCCTCAGGGGGCGAGGGGCTGTCTCTGAACATTAGTGGTCTCCTTGGGGTCAGGCCTGCTGCCACTGGGTCCCCAGGGACCCTAGGTGTGGGGAGGCTCCTGGAAGGGAAGCTAACTCAGGGGTGAGGTCCCCCCAGCCTTAAGGAATAGCACAGGCGATGGGTGGGGCAGTGGCCAATCCGTGGTGGATGGAGAGTCCGATGAGGAAACCCCAGGAAGGCCTGCCCCACCCCACATCCAGGAGTGGGGTTCAGTGTCTGGGAATGCTATACGATTGTGGAGTGGCTGCCCGGGGCTCCAGCCACCTGGCTTTTGAGTGGCCTCCACGCCAGTGGCTCTGTGTGAGCAGAGGGCCAGGGGCTCCAGCTGTTTGTGCCGGGCAGGGCTCTTCCAGGTGGTCTCTCAATGCTTTGAGCCTCCCAGGTCTCCCAGCTCCCCTGCCCACCTGCCCACCAAGCTCAGGCCACCTCCTGGAGGGCCTTCCCAGCTGCCAGCACTGCGGCTGCTTCTCCCACCCGCCTCTGGCCTCCTGAGGCATTTGGGCCATGCCCAGCCAGGCGGCCACCCACGGTTCTCCAGGCCACGCCGAGCCCAGCCCACCGAGCTTTGTCAGGGAGCCTGGTTCCCAGCGCCCCTGGCCTTGGAAGGGCTCAGTTGTCTTGAGTTTGACTGGTTTGGTCTGTGTCCAGGCTGTTAGCCCGTGGCCAGGGCTGTGGTCACTATGAGCAGGACTAATGGACCCTGCAGCTGAGGGGAGTGGGCAGTCTCACATGGCATGGGTCACTGCTGGGGGCTGTCAGCTCCAGGTGGTTCTCCTGTCCAGTCCCTGATGACTAGGGAGGCTGAGCACTGGGGGCCGGGGCTGGGGGCAGAGTGGGCACATGGGGCCTCTGGCCAGCATGGGGCAGGGGTACGGGGACTGGGCCTGCCCATTGACGGTTGCACCCACCCTTTTCAGCTTATACTTCAATGGCATCAGCCGCACCCAGGCCCAGCAGCTGCTCCTGTCCCCAGCCTACGCTCCAGGCGCCTTCCTCGTCCGGCCCAGAGAGAGCAGCCAGGGTGCCTACTCGCTGTCAGGTACAAAGGCCCTCAGCCTCTGTCCCCCGGAGGCACCCTGGGCAGCCGTGCGGAGGTAGAACATTCTTTTTTCGTTGTTTAAAGCACTGCATATGTCCCTTTTTCTGCGATTGACCTCCCCCGCCACTCCTGCCCCAGGACAAGCCCCGCCGCCCCAGTGCCCGTGTCCATGGGCTATGCTCGTATGCATGCACACAGTCCTCTGGTCGATCTCTTACGAGAACACCCTTGACCTCAGAGTCCTTACTGGTGCCCAGCACCACCTCGGGCTGATAGCGCCCACTGCTGCTCACTTCCTGTTTGTCCACTCCTCCTCAGCAGCTCCCCCGCCCCTCCTTCATTCCCCAGCAGACTCTTACCTGCACCGTCTGCTCCTCTGCCTGTAGCTCCCCACACGCCCTCCTCTCCACGAGGCCCCCAGCGGGTGGTGGCAGTCTCCTGGCTGTGGTGGTAGAGAGCCTGGACACAGCCTCCATCTCTGCACCTCTCCAGTCCGGGCCCAGGCCAAAGTCCGCCACTACCATCTCCACAGCGGCTGACGGAGCTTCTGTCTGCAGAAGGGCCATCCCTTCCCCATTCTGGGGGAGCTGCTCTCCTATTACAAAGCCAACTGGAAGCTGATGCGGAACCCGCCACTGCAGCCCTGCGTGTCCCAGGTGGGCCTGCCCGCCCTGCTCCCGCCCGCCTTCCTGGGCCTCGCGTACTGCCAGAGGGCATCTCTAAGGCCAGGAGCCCACACTCGGTGAACCCTCCACGCTCTGGTTGGGGCCCTGCTTGGGGTGGGGTCTGCTCTCCTCTGAGAGTCCTGGGCCGGGAGTATGCCGGGCTCTGCAGGCAGCGGTGAGGAGGGCAGGGGACGCATGGGGGAAGGCTCCCGCAGCCGCTCCAGGCCCAGGGCAGAAGCCGTGGGAGGATTGCTGATCCCGAAGAGCCGCTTGGGCTGGAGCTGCCGCTTTGCACCATGTCCCAGCGAGGCTGTTTGCCGAGGGGCTGGGCAGCGCCCGGTTCCTCTGGTCCCTGAATGACAGCCTGACAGCGATGAGGGTTTGCGGACAGAGGGCCTTCCTTAGCAAACAGGCCCAGCCCCAGGGAGGCCAGCCCCTGGCACCCCTTGCTCTAGCTGGAGCCAGCATTGAGCACGGGGTGGAGGCCTGGGCCTGGAGAAGCTGCCGTTCTGACGGGCACAGAGGCACTGAGCGCCCTCCCCACAGAAGCCCCTGGGGCAGGACGCGTGGGAGCGCCGCTCCGAGTTCACCTTCGGAGGAAGCTGGGCAAAGGCCGCTTCGGGGAGGTGCGGAAGGCCTGTGGCTCGGCTCTCTGCCCGTGGCCATCAAAGTCATCCAATCAGTGGGTGAGGCCCTGCCACCCCTGCCCCTGGAGCCCCGGGCGGCCACGGTGCCGTGGGCGGGTCCTGGACTTGCACCCTCTCCAGCAGCCGACAGGAAACCCGCTGACCTCGCCAAGGAGGTCCAGACGCTCAAGAGCCTGCGGCACGGCGGCTCATCCCGCTGCACGCCGGTGCTCCGCCGGCGGCCCGCGCACGCCGTCACCGGGCTCATCCCGCTGCACGCCGGTGCTCCGCCGGCGGCCCGCGCACGCCGTCACCGGGCTCATCCCGCTGCACGCCGGTGCTCCGCCGGCGGCCCGCGCACGCCGTCACCGGGCTCATCCCGCTGCACGCCGGTGCTCCGCCGGCGGCCCGCGCACGCCGTCACCGAGCTCACGTGCAAGGCAACCTGCAGGCCTTCCTGGGCAGTGAGTGTGCCCTGTCGGTTGCCCGTCTGTGGGCAGCACGACCTTTGGGCCGGGACGACCTCTGCTGCCTTCGGGCTCGGGCCTTGGACAGGCCTGTGGAGAGAAAGTCAGGGCCTGGACACACGCACACACACACACACACACACACACACGGGTCCATCTGTGTCCCCAGCCCCTGAATGAGGTCAGGATGGACCCAGTCCCGCGCCCCCTCCCACTTTGGGCCTCCTCTGTCTCTGCTGGGGACCAGGCTGGTTGCCAAGAAACAGCTTGCCCGGCATGGTCACTGCAGCCACACAGGGCTCCCCCTCTCAGATGAGGAAACTGAGGCACAGAGGGCAGTGGCCTGACTGTCGGCTACCCCTGCAGGCCCCGAAGGCTGCGCCCTGGGCCCGGCAGTGCTGCTGGGCTTCGCCTGCCAGGTGGCGGAGGGCATTGCTACCTGGAGGAGTGGCACATCGGGCACCGAGACCTGGCCGCCAGGAACGTGCTCGTGGACGACGGCCTGGCCCAGCTGCTCAAGGTCAGGGCGCGGGTGGTGGGGCCGGCGGGAGCGGAGGCGCCGCCTCACCGCCTCACCACGGCGTCCCTCGCCAGGATCACGTCTACTCCCCGAGCAGCGGCTCCAAGATCCCCTTCAGTGGACAGCGCCCGAGGCCGCCCACTTCCGCGTGTTCTCTTCGAAGTTGGGCGTCTGGTCCTTCGGCGTGCTGCTCTACGAGGTGTTCTCCTACGACCAGGGTCCCCACGAAGTGGGCCTCCCGCAGCCCGAGGGCGCGCCTTGCCCTGGGGCAGCTCACCCCAGAAGGGCGCCAGGCCTCCAGGCTGCCGCGTGACGGTCTGGGGAGGGGGGCCCACGGTGACTCCCCCTCCCCAGGAATGAGCAACCACAATGAGCAGCAGATGGAGAGGGTACCGGCTCCCACGCGGCCGCCTGCCCCGCCGAGGCCTGCGCGCTCATGCTGGCGTCTGGAAGCGCAGCCGGAGGAGCGGCCGGCCTTCGCTGCGCTGCAGGCCACGCTGGGCACCATCCACGGGCGCCTCCCCGCCGCCCTCCTGGGAGCCCCACACTGGCAGCTGTGCCCAGAGGCTTGTGGGACAGAAAGGACAGAGGCATGTACAAGCCCCTCGGGCACAGATAAGTGACCCCCAGGGCTGCTCAAAGAGCAGAGGCTGCTGGGGCTGGGTTGGGGGAGGGGCTCCATGGTGGAGGGCGAGGCGGGGCAGCACAGGGATGAGGTAGGAACCAGTGCATCAGGCCCAGATGCGTCTGGCTTTGGTCAGGGCGAAGTGGGAAGTCAGGAGTGCCCAGAGCCTCAGACCCCAGGCCGGGCTGTCCCGGCCCTGGTAGGTGAGGGCAGGAGGGTTTGGGCAGCAGCTGCTGACCCTCCATCCTGTGCTGGGCCGAGAAGGTGAGGGCTGGAGCTGAGCTCCTCGGGTTCGGGGGATCAAGGGACCCCCCTGGGCAGGGCTCCGGCCACCAGGAGGGGCTCGCCCTCTTGGGCTGGCGCCGCGGGGTGTGTGGGCGGCTGGCAGGCAGCCTCCGGGGAAGGAGTGTGCGAGGCGTGGTGACAGGCCAGAGAGGCAGGTGCGCGTGGGGGTCGCCTTGGCTGTCTCAGGTGCTGGACAGCTTTGTGTTCAGAGCCTCTGGGCGGGCCGGGCAGTCTGGAAACCGGAGCTTCCTGGTGTGACTCAGGCAGAGCCCCAGGGACTCCAGGCTCTTAGACTGTGAGGTGAGGGCTGGAGCTGAGGGGGCTTGGAAGCCCCTGGCCCCAACAGGTGCTAACAGCCCCCCACCCTGCGGCCCTGCCCCCTGGAGCTCTGCCCTCCAGGGTCCGGCGGCCCGTGCCCGCAGCGCGGTCAGCGCTAGGGGGCTGCCCATCCATGACCTCGTTAGGCAGCACGCTCCTGTTCTTCCCGCGGACGGGTGCGTGGGCCCTTGCTCTCCTCGATGAAGGCGAGTTTCAACAAGCAGGACGCGGCTCCTTTGTCCTCAGCCTCCTGCTGTAGCGGCAGTTCCTGGCACCGCCTCAGCCAGGAAGCCTCAGGCCCCAGGCCAGCAGGCTGACCGGAACCCACGGCCACCCTGGACTGCCTGCTGCAGCCACACCAGCTCCCCACACGCCTTCCCTCCCCGCTCCCCCCTCCCCCGTGGAGTGTCTTGTCCATGGTCTCCGTCCCTGACCCCAGCTCCCAAACCCTCTCCCCATGGTCCAGGGGCCCTCACTGGTGACTCTACCCTCCCCCTCTCGGGGCTCAGGCCCACCACGTGGCCACTTGTGAGCACATTCCCAGAGGGTGGGCAAGGACAGTGCCACAGTGCCTGGCCCCGGGGTGGGGGGTGGGGGGACCTGCCAGGACTGGAGGTGGAGCCAGGTGCTGAGGGAAGCGCGTAGCTCATTGGCTGGGCGGGTGGGGCGGCCTGTCAGCACTGGCCCTGCCCGGCCACACCTCCCGGCCACTGCGCTCACAGCGGCCTGGCGACAGGCAGAGAGGCCAGGCGGCTAGGACCTGCCGCTTCAGACACCATGGTGTCCCGGGGCCAGGCGCACCTGGGCCCCAAGTATGTGGGCCTCTGGGACTTTAAGGCCCGGACAGACGAGGAGCTGAGCTTCCAGGCAGGAAGTCTCTTCCACGTGGCCAGGAAGGAGGAGGAGTGGTGGTGGGCCACGCTGCTGGACGCTGAGGGCGGGGCCCTGGCAGAAGGCTATGTGCCTCACAACTACCTGGCCGAGAGGGAGACTGTGGAATCTGAGCCGTGAGTGCCCCGTGGTCCTTGCAGGGCAGGGGCCTGAGCTCTAGCAGGGCGGGGCCTCCGGGACAGAGTTCCGCGCCCTGTGGCTGTGCTCAGGGAGGGACAGGAGCAGGGCTGGCCAAGGAGGGTGAGGACTTGTGGCTTAGTCTCCTTGGGCCCCCAAGTCAGGGCCAGACCCCACCATCCATGGCTGTACATCATTGCCGACCGGCATCTGGGGAAGCTGCGGCCCGTGGCCCCTCCCCTGGGCTCCCACGTGGCCGCTTTGCGGTGCCAGGACCCAGAGAGGACAGAAGAGGCCACAGGGGCCCCCGGGGGGCTGCCCGCAGTGAATCCAAGGCAGGGCTGGACCTTTTGGGGAGCCAAGTTCTGCTCACCTTCCAACCAACTGAAACCAGATGTGCGACCTAGTTAGGGAGGGAGGGAGGTCATTGCAACATGCCCGCTCGGGCGTGGGCTGCGGGCGCTGCTCCTCGCACCCTCACGGCTGCCTCGTCACGGCAAGGCGGCTCCGGGAGGGGCAGCCGCCCGACAGGCTGCCCGGGATGAAACCAGGCAGCCTTCGCTCGCGTGTCCACGAGCCTGAGCTGCCTCCCTGGAGCTCTGGGAGGGGTCCAGCCGGGCACCCGCCGTGTTTGGGCTCGCGCGGTGCGGGGTAGGGTGACCACCTGCCGAGGGGAGACTGGCCATGAGCAAGTTCGGCCGGAAGCAGGTCGGCTTCGGAGGGGCCTCCGGGGGTGTGATGCCGGGAAGGACCAGCTGGAGGAGGGCCTGGCGGCCGAGAACAGCTGGCTGGAGAACCGGAGGAGGAGCGCGGTGGAGGGTGCGCAGGCATCCTCCCAGGTGTGCAGGCTGGGCCGCGTTCCAATGGTGCTGAGGGAGTTGGGTGCCAAAGGCAGAGCAGCTGGCAGCAGAGGTCACGGGGAGATGGCGGGCCCCACCCTGCAGCTGAGTCCAGGGTTCGCAGGGCTGCTGGCGCGCTGGCATGGGGCGAGTGTGTGAGTGTGCAATGCGGGTGTGTGACCAGCAGGTGTGCGTGGCCGGCTGCTCAGCACACCTGTCTGTGGCCCGGGTCGCTGGAGGTGGTCAGAGTCACAGAACCACGCAGTCCCGTGGGATGGGTGGCACATCCCTGGGACAGGGTGGCTCTGAACACCAGGGACAGCCCAGGCCAGAGTGGTGGCGATGCCTGCTCTAACGGCCTCCGCATCCCTCGGGACGAGCAGGGAGGAGCCTCAGGTCGGAGACAGTGGCAGCTGGCAGCTGGGGTGCAGGTGGAGGGCTGGCACTCAGGAGGAAGGGCAGGGGTCAGCGTGGAGTCAGTGGGCTCCTGCCCCCTCTGCAGGTGGTTCTTCGGCTGCATCTCCCGCTCAGAAGCCGTGCACCGACTGCAGGCAGACGGCTCCGGGCCCGGGGCCTTCCTGATCAGGGTCAGCGAGAAGCCGGGCGCCGACTATGTCCTCTCAGGTGCAGCAGCCCTCTCCCGGGTCTGCCGGCGCCGGGCTCGGTGCCTCCTGTCCCTAAGCCCTCTCCCCCTCCTTCTGGCTGTGGCAGCCAGGACATGGAGCCTGTCCCGGAGACTCAGGCCCCGCGGGGTGATTGTCCTGTGGTCCCGCCTGGGTTCTCTCCGGTCACTGTTGGAAGGACGCAGGCAGGAGGCGGGCACTCCTCTTTGAGCCGGGGTGCCCACGCCTGCTCACGCACCCTCCTCTGCCCGCGCCCCTGCGCTCTAGTGCGGGACAGGCCGGCCGTGTGGCACTACAGGATCTGGAGGTGTGCGGGCCGTCTGCACCTCAGCGAAGCCGTGTCCTTCCCCAGCCTGGCCCAGCTCGTGAGCCACCACCGAGCACACGGTCTGTCCAGAGGCCTGCAGCTGACAGTGCCCTGTGGGAAGGTAGGGCCGCCCCCGCCCCCAGACTGTCCACTGCAGCCCTTCCTCCTCAGTGACCGGGTCCTCAGGGTCAGGCAGGGGGCTCCCGGGGGCTGGCTGAGGTCCTGGGGCCGGACCTGCAGGTGGGGCAGAGGATGGTCCCCTCTTGCTGGTCACTCTCTCTTCGGGCTGAAGAGGTCAGGGTACCCTGCTGTGTCCTTTGTCTCTGAGACAAGGCTGTGTGCCCAGCTGAGCATTTTGTCTGAGTGGCAAGCGGGCCACTGTCACAGGCCCAGGGCAGGCAGGGAGGGGGTGTTTACAGGGCACGGCCAGGGCTCCCGCTGCTGGGCCGGAGGGGCTTCAGAGGGCTGGGCGGTGGATGGCACCCGGCCCTGCGTCCCTGCAGCACGAGCGGGAGCCCCTGCCCCTCTGTGCCGACTGGGAGCGGCCCCGGGAGGAGTTCACGCTCTGCAGGAAGCTGGGGGCCGGCTACTTCGGGGAGGTCTTCGAGGGGCTCTGGAAAGGCCAGGTCCGCGTGGCTGTGAAGGTGATTGCCCGAGGTGAGTGGCCCCGGCAGGGCGGACCCTCACGGAGACCCTCTGGGGTGCGGGGCCGCCGTGGGACCAGTGTGTCTGCCCCGCTCACTGGCCTTGTGGCCTTGGGAGCTGGTCGCCCGGTGAGCACCCACAGTTCCCAAGGGTGGGTGTTGGGGCCGCCCTCTCCGATCTGTCCATCTTGCAGATGACCTCCTGCACCAGCACACGTTCCAGGCGGAGATCCAGGCCATGAAGAAGCTCCGGCACAAGCACATCCTGGCGCTGTACGCTGTGGCGTCCGTGGGGGACCCCGTGTACATCATCACAGAGCTCATGGCCAAGGGCAGCCTGCTGGAGCTCCTGCGGGGTCAGTGGCCGTGGTGACCCGGGGCTGCTGTCAGGGCCCAAAGTGACGGGGTCAGGAAGGACGCTAAGAAAGAAAGCCCTGACTGCCCACACCATGCACAGGACGCCAGGGTCTCCTGCTGCGTGCCGGGCCTTTGCTGTGAGGAATGTGTGTGCTATCTGTGACAACGTGCCGTCTGCTCATCGTGAAGTTTGAGGAAATACAGAGAAGGGCAAATGCAGGGAAAGCCCCCACTCCTGGCCGTGGCCACCTGAGCTCTCCTCCTCTGGCCAGCCCGGGGTTTCATGCCGCACCCAGCCGGACGGTGGCTGCGCTGAGCAGACGGCCACGGGGCGGAGTGGGGGGGGGGGTGTTGAAGCGGGAAGGAAGGTAGGATGAGGCCTGGGATGTGATGTGTGCACCTGGGATTCCGTCTTCTGGACAAAGTCCGACTGCAGAGCCGCTCACAGGAGCAGCCATGCAGCAGTCCCGTGTTGCTGACTGTTCTTCAGGTTGACAGGCGAGTTGCCTCCACTCGGCCAGTGGCCCGTGGCATCTTTCCATCTGACGGGTCTGTGTACTCACACCCGGAGTTCCGATTCCCAGAAGCGAAGTACAAAGGTGTATGAGCCTCTTTGGGGCAGAGACAGAACTCCTGGCAGGGCTGTGTGGGGGCCTCGGTCCCAACTTTGTCAGGCCCCGCCCCCTGCCAGCCCCTCCACTGAGCCAGAGAGGACCCCCCGCTGACCCGGTCCCTTTGCCTCTGCAGAGTCTGATGAGAAAGCCCTGCCCGTCTTGGAGCTGGTGGACATCGCCTCCCAGGTGGCCGAGGGCATGTGCTACCTGGAGTCTCAGAATTACATCCACCGGGACCTGGCTGCCAGGAACATCCTCGTGGGCGAGAACAACATTTGCAAAGTGGGGGATTTTGGGCTGGCCAGGCTCATCAAGGTAGGGCCCCGGAGGGCCTGGGGCACAGTGGGGCATCCCGTGCACAGAGCTGGGGATGCCCGTGGGGCCCCTGAGGGGACAGGAGCAGAGGGCTGCGGCCTGGGAGGTGGAACACAGGAAGCTCCTTACAGGGCCTTTCAGAGCTGAGTGGGGTGGGGGTGGGGGTGGGAGGTGGCACTTGGCCAGTCCAGGAGCCACAGGAGCCAAAGTCTCTGCTGAGTGGGAGAAGCAGGGACCAGCCTTCACCTGCTCCTTCCTTCCTTCGAGTTGCTGCTACCCTGTTCCTCGAAAATAAGACAGCGTCTTATATTAACTTTTGCTCCCAAAGATGCGCTAGGTCTTATTTTCAGGGGATGTCTTATTTTTCCATGAAGAAGAATACGGTACACATTTATTGTTAAATGAAAATAAAGGAAATGTATTACCTGTATACGGTACGGTAGTACGGTAGCTGTCAACACAAACCAGACAAACTGTGAATCCTACAGTATCAAGAATTTACTCATTTATTCAATGACAATCATGTCATCATCTTCTGGAACATCATCATCACAATCCAATTCCTGAATTTCCTGGTGAATTTCTTGTGACTCCATTTCTTTCAGAATCAGTGGACCGAATCTCTCATGTTTAGCCTGGGGGGGGGGGCTTATTTTCGGGGGATGCCTTATATTTCACTCAGAAGGAAACCTGTAAGTAGGTCTTATTTTCGGAAGATGTTTTATATTAGGGGAAACATGGTAGCTCCTGCGGCTCAGATAGATCCCTTCCAGCGCTCACCCCCGGAGTTGTGGAGACTCTGGAGGACACACGCGTCAGAATCATGCGTGGGCCTTGTGGTCCCTCGGCCGACAGCCCCACTCCCTGCCCGTGCCCGGGTGCATTCCGCTGCTCCTTGTGCGGGCGCTTGGGGAGCCGTTTCCCTCCTCACCCGTGGCCAGCACGGGGCAGGTCACTATGGCAGAAAGATGGGGTGGGACCACAGGAGCCTGGGTAAGCTCCACTCTACCTGGACCCAGAGGACAGAGGTGCTACCTGGGAGGCGATGTTTGCGAGTTTGTCCAGTGGCGGCAGTCAGCCTTTCTTGGCACCTCTGAACTCACCTGCAGTGGCCACTGTGTGCTGGGTCATGCTGCCCGTCAGGCTCTGCTTTCCTGACCCTGACTTCCAGCTCCGCCACCAGTCTGCTCTGCCCACAAGCCCCGACCAGCCTGCCTCCGAGGCGGGCAGCAACCCCCTCTAGTGGTGGCCGGGATGGCCTAGCTGCTCACACGCCGGGCACCTGCTCCCCCGCACCGGCTCCCCGCCTCCCCCAGCATGCCTTCATTGCAGGAGGACATCTACCTTTCCCACGACCGCAACATCCCCTACAAGTGGACGGCCCCCGAGGCGCTCTCCCGCGGACACTACTCCATCAAGTCTGACGTCTGGTCCTTCGGGGTCCTCCTCCACGAGGTTCTCAGCAGGGGCCAGACGCCCTATCCAGGTACTGGGCCCGGGCGGCGTGGGAGGACTGTGATCTGGACACCATTCTGAGCACCTGGGTGCTGTCTGGAGTGAGGGCCTTGGAAATGGGTGTGGGAGGTGCAGAGGGTGAGAGCGTGGCTGGTGTCCTAGGAGGCACAGTAGCCGCCCTGCCCCACTCTCCACAGGCATGTCCAACCACGAGGCCTTCACGAGGGTGGACTCTGGCTACCGCATGCCCTGCCCCCCTGAGTGCCCGCCCAGTGCCTACAGGCTGATGCTCGCGTGCTGGCACCGGGACCCTGAGCAGAGGCCCTGCTTCCAAGCCCTGCGGGAGCAGCTCTGCAGCTTCGCTAGCTACGAGAACCCAACCTGAATGCGGAGTGCAGCCTCCCCACCGCCTGGAGGTGGCCAAGGGCACACAGCACCCAGATCCAGACTGCACAGGGCAGGAAGTGCGCCAGCCACCAGGGCGCCCTGCTCCGGCCAGATGTTCTCTGCGGCCTGGGGCTGAGGGCCTCTCTGAGCGCCAGAACCACCGCCGGGGACCTGCAGGAGCGGGAGTGGCGTGCCCCAGGCACTGGCCCAGTCCACCAGCTGTCAGGACTAGCGCTTGGCCCTCCAAGGGAGTACATGGTGGGAACCTGGGTCTTGGCTGTGCCCTCCCTTTGCCACCTAGCTCCTGCCTGCCCTGACTTAGGGATGGGGAGACCCCCCCAGCAGTCAAACAAGGTCTGCTGGTGGTTGGGCAGTGCCACCTGCCATCCCAGGACCAGGTGGCTGTCCCCATCTTCCTGCCACTGCTACCAGGAGCTGCCTCTGAAGGTTCGAGGGGCCTGGCTGGGCATTACGGCGGAAAGACGGGGCGGGGGACTTGGCCATCCAGCCTTGGGGCCACAAGAGCCTGGGTAAGCCCCCACTCCACCTGGACACACCGAGGACAGAGGTGTTGCCCATCGGGGTCCCAGCCCCCCAGCTGCCTTGGAATAGACTCATGCAGCTGTCCCTAGCACAGGGAGGGAGGGAAGGGGGCACGAGAGGGCTCCCTCAGGGGCCAGCCGAGTCCCACCTCACACCATGCTGCCCTCCTCACATCCACTGCCCTCTCCCGGAGACCTGTGGACACCGGGCAGGCAGCTAGATTGCACAATCATCCCGCCGAGCTCCCTGAGCTGGACTTTGCCTGAAGCTGGGCTGCCAGTGGTGAGACCCCCCCAGGAGCACCCCCAGCCTCTTCTTCAGCTTAAGTCTCTGGGGCTATGGCCCGCCCCTCCCGGGACGGGAGGGCCCCGCTCAGTGTCCTACAAGGGACTGGCGGTGGCACACTTATGGGAGAGTGAGCTCAGTGCTTGTCCCACACCAGTATGGAGGGGCCTCATCAAGGTCCTTCAAGGACACCAGGTCCTTCTAGCTGACGGCGCCTACCCACAGCCTCCCGGAGGCTGCCAGGGCAGGGCTGCCTGGTGGGCAACCTCGGCGGCTTCCACAGATCACAGCCACCTGCTCTCCCGGCGCCCACCTCCTCTTAGGCACAAGGCTCCACTCAGAGAAGCTCACTGGGGGATCGGCCAGGCCTGGGGAGCCCCCCAGCAAGGAGCCCTGGGGGCAGGGCCAGCTCCCCACCTCCACCAGGAATTGAGGAGGCTGAGCGACTTCTCCCATAGCCGAACACACGGCTCAGGAACGCCGTCAGGGATGTGGCTGCTGCTCATTTATTTTCCACTCGGTGCAAGGCACATGGTTATGGGTGTTAGGCAGGCTTGCGTGTGGCTTGGGTAGTAAAGAGTGGGGCTCTCTCGACTTCCTTTTTGGTGTTTTGCTGTTTTGCTATAAAAGAACCCAACCGCGTCTGCTTGTTGCAGCCGGCCTAGTCTACAGGAGGTGGGGTGAGGAGAGGGGGGGGGGCCTCAGAGAGCCTAGCGCCTCTGGAAGTCTGGCGGCGGCCACTCAGGACGGGGGCCCCGCGTTGGCTGTGCCAGGCTGGCCGCCAGGCTGCTTCCCTGTGGCTTCCCGGGCCAGGTCACAGGTGATCACGCTGCACGCGGCCTGGGGAGATTCCGAGCTGGGGGGAGAGAGAGGTCAGAGGGTGCTCCCAGCAGCCACCCTCCCACGCTGGCCCCCACGAAGGTGCACTCACTGCTCTGGGGACTCCAGCACTGTGGCCATGAATGGGAGAGTGGACTTCCCAAAAAAGAAGCTTGCCCACCAGTGACCCGGGTCGGCTTTGGGGAGACCTGAGAGAGATACAGTGGGGTCACGGTGCTGCTGCCCACTCCTGGGGACCCCTCCAGATGGTCCCCACAGCAGACAGGAAGTGGACCTACTACACTCACCCGGGGGGTGGGGGATGGCTTCCCCAGGGCACTCGGCACTTCCGCAGGAGCTGTTACTGGAAGTGGAGCCCAGGCGGCCTGGAGGGGAGAGGTCGGCTTCAGCCTGCAGCCCACTCGCTAGGCAGCCTGGGCGTCTCCCAGGGCTGGAGCTGGGGTGGCGGGGAGCCCCAGGCAGACCTGTGGGGTAGTGGGCAAGGGGCTTGCTTACGCCGGTAGTAGTCGTGGGTGGCCACGAGCGAGCCGCTGGAGGGGATGGCCGCCATGCTCTTGCTTGTGGACTGGTGGAAACCTGCGCACACGGGGTTCGGAGCCCCTTGGGTAACCCAGTGATCCTCGGGAAGGGTGCTCCCACCCGGGCTCCCGGGTGCGCCCCGTGGGCCACGGGAGGGACAACGGCGCCGGTTTACGGAGACGGGATGTGGCTCCGAAGCTCCCGGATGGAGGACCGCCTGCTCCCCGCCGGGCGCCGGCAGCTCTAACCGGCCCGAACCGGCCGCGCGGAACAAAGGCGCTTTGTGCTGGAGCCATCACCTGCGCCCCCGGAACCGCAGGCCGCCCCGGGGACACCGAACCCACCCGCTTCCCCGCCCAGGGCGCTTCTCCGCCCGCGGCCCCGCCCATGCGCTTCCAGCGCCGCGTCTCCAGCGCCGCCCCGCCCCCCGTTTGCCCTCCCGGCCTTCGGTCCGCCGGTCCCGCCAGCGTCGCGCACGGGCCGTCCTCACCTCGGCGGCGGCCCCTCGCGGACCTCGGCGCGCGGCACGGTGGCGGGGACGGGGCGCTAGGCCGGGGAGCCCATTGGCAGAGGAGCCTGCGGGGCCGCACCACGACCGAGAGGCGCGGAGGTGCGCACGCGCGGTCGCCCGCTAATACTGCGGCTGCGCGCTGGCGTCACGGGGCGGGGCCAGGCCACGCCCCCCGCTCCCCAGTGCTGGCCGGCGGGAGCCCAGCCCGCGGAGGTCCCAGACCGCGGCGGGCTGGAAGCGCGGTTCCCCGCCTCCTCCGTCCCGTCCCGTCCCGTCCCGCCCCGTCCCGTCCCGTCCTAGAGCAGGGCCGCCCCCTCTTCTGGGCCCTGGCGCGCTCTCGGCCCCCTGCCGGCCCCGCCTGTCTCGCCCAGGCCGCCCCGCGGAGGCGGCGGGGCCCTGGGAGGTGTTTCTGTTGGCGGTGCACAGCCTGGACCGAGCCCCGCAGGCCCGGCCTCCGCAGTGCCCTGTCCTCGGTCCTCTCCACTCAGGACTCACCCGCACAGAAGTGGGCCGAGCGGCATCTCCTGCTCCCAGTGCGGGAGCTGGGTGGTCCCCAGGGAAGCTGTGCGCCCTGAGCCCTCCAGACATGCCCTTCAAAGCTTCACGCTGCTGACCCCTCCTGTATCCCCTTCGCGGCTCTGGTGGCTCTGGAACCCCCATCCCAGTTCCCCAGCTCCAGCGGCCTCCAGGCTGCTTGTGAGGCCCACGTGGGCATCGAGGGCAGGGCACTGGCAGCAAGGGGTTTATTTGAGTGGCTGGGGTGAAGACCTACTGTTTGGAGATTTCTCCAGTAGATGGAGGCAGTGGTCCCCTGTTTTGAGCGACCCCAGAATATTTTCCCAAGGACTTCCTTTCTGATGTGGAAGCCAGCCCCGACCTCCTTCCTCACAGACCCACGCCCCAGCCTTCCTCTGCAGAGGGGCGGTCAGCAGCTCTGCCTGTTGGCTCTTTGTATGCTGGGCCCTGGCTGGCTGCACAGGTTTCTTCCCCAGCCGTTGGGAGGCTCTCAGGAGGTCTGTGAGGGCTCAGGAGGGTGCTGCCGGGAAGACGCCACACTCCCTTTTCCAGGCTCTCCACATCTGCAACACCCTCCGGACCCCTCAGCATTTCAACTTCCTGTGCAGCAGGAAACAGAACCCTGAGAGGGGCCATCCCAGGATACAGATGCTTTTTCAGGCTGCGTGGGATGGAAGTTGCCGACCTTGTGACTCTATTTGGTTTGGGCAGCATTGTGGCCGGGGGACCCTGGGAGGAGGTGCAGTGCCTGTCGCAGGTAATTCTCATCCCTCTCCACCTCTTCCATCTCTCCCGGGGTCCCCACTAAATGGGCTTCTGCTGCTCCATTGGGAAAGGGACAGTCCCAGGGGCTCTCCGGCCACTTGTCCAGCTGGGTCTTCATGAGCTCCCAAGATTACCATGCCTCCTGCAGGAGGTGAGCTGGATTGCATGTATGGACTGGGACAATGACCACACAGGAGCTGCACGTGCCACCCACCAGGTGCCCACAGAGCATTGTAGCCCCAAACCCCACTTCACAGCTGACCACCTTCTCTCAATCATTGATTCTCAGTGCCTGTGGATCGAGACCCATAGTCACAGCCTGGCCAGCTTTTGCCCCTTCAGCGGCTTAATTCTGGATCATAAACTTAAGTGCAAATAAAATTTAAGTTTTATTTATTTATTTTTAAAATATATTTTATTGGAGGATCCAAGATGGCTGCTCGGGTAGACATCTAGCCGCAGCAGCACACAACAATTTCAATGGAATACAACTAAAATGTAGAGTGGACATTGCCCAGAGCTACAGGTAGTCGACTGACTGAAATTTCTACAACAAGAAGGAAAGAGAAAACCAGAAAGAAAATCAGAGGAGCTGAAAAAAAGCCTAAGGTACGGAGACATGCTGCGCGCGCGCCCGCCCGCACGCGCGCACTGAGAGGTCGCAGCCGGAGAGGAGGAGAGGGCGGGGAGCCGCCTTTCCTTCCCTAGCAGGAAGGGAATAAAACCCCCAGCCGGGGCTGAACCCCTGAACCGGCAGCGCTGAACCCCCCCGAACTGGCAGCGCTGAGCCCCAGTTATGGGCCAGACCCTGGGGACCCAGGCTCCGGCGGGAGGAGATGGGGCCGTGAGGCGGAAAAACGGTGAAAGGCAGGGCCCCGGGAGTCGCGCGTAATGCGCGCAGAGGACTGAATGTTGACTCTGATGCTGGGTTGCCCTAGCCGGAAGAAACAAGGCCTCCAGCGGCGCTCAGCCTCAGTCCGGACTGCTCCGAACCCCAGTTCTGGGCCAATCCCTGGGGACCCAGGCTCAGGCAGAGGGAGACGGGGCTGGGAGGTGGAGTCCGGGGAGAGCGGCGAAAGGCCGGGCCCCCGGGACTCGCGCAAACTTCGCACAGAGGACAATCTGTTGACTCTGATGCTGGACTTCCCTAGCGGGAAGGAGAAAAAAAAAAGCTCTAGGCTGGGGGAACGCGGAGGGGAGCGGAAGCCCCTGCCGGACTCCAGCCAACCGGGCACCAGCAAAGAGGCGGGCCACGGGGCCCCTGGGGGCGTGGGTGCCCCTGAGCCTTTGACCACTGAGCTCGGGCAATGGAGCCAAGGCCTGGGGCTGCTTCCTGGGCGGCGCCGTCCCGGCAACAGGCTGAAGCAGCACAGGAGCCCGCGGAGAACAAAGGGGTGCCACAGGCCAACCTGCTGAGCTCCCAGGACAAGGAGGAAGAAACCAAAGAAGTTCTCAATGTGAAGAAATCAAGTGAGAGCAAAAAATAGTAAAATTACTTAAGAAAGAATACAAAGAAGATCTTGAAAAATCAAAGACTAAGTCAGAACTCAACTCACCAGCCAACATTGCAACATAAATGCGTTTTAAAAAGAAAAAAAAAGGACAGAATGCTGGAACAGCGACGGCCAGGCCTAGAGTGGCCAGGCACAAGGCAGTGGCAGCCAGACCCGGAGCAGCAACGGCCAGGCCCCAGAACAACAGCAGCCAGAACCAGAGCATCAACAGCCAGCACTGGAGTAGCCAGACCTGGGGCAGTGGCAGCCAGGCATGAGGCGGAGGCGGCCAAGCCCAGGGTGGCCAGTCCAGGAACACCCAGACCCGGAGTGGCTGGGCCCGCAGAAGCCGGGCCCAGAGCAGCCGGGGTGGGAGCAGCCAGACCCAGAACAGCAGTAGCCAAGCCCAGAGCATCCAGGTCGGGAGTGGCCAGGCTCGGAGCGGCCAGGCCCGGGGCAGCCGGGCCCAGAGCAGCCGGGTCCGGTGCGGCCAGGCCCGGAGCAGCGGCTGCCAGGCTGGGAGCGGCCAGGCCCAGGGGAGCAGGCGGGTCGGGTGCGGCCAGGCCCGGAGCAGCGGCTGCCAGGCTGGGAGCGGCCAGGCCCGGGGGAGCAGGCGGGTCGGGTGCGGCCAGGCCCGGAGCAGCGGCTGCCAGGCTGGGAGCGGCCAGGCCCGGGGGAGCAGGCGGGTCGGGTGCGGCCAGGCCCGGAGCAGCGGCTGCCAGGCTGGGAGCGGCCAGGCCCGGGGGAGCAGTCGGGTCGGGTGCGGCCAGGCCCGGAGCAGCGGCTGCCAGGCTGGGAGCGGCCAGGCCCGGGGGAGCCGGCGGGGCTGGTGCGGCCAGGCCCGGAGCAGCGGCTGCCAGGCTGGGAGCGGCCAGGCCCGGGGGAGCAGGCGGGTCGGGTGCGGCCAGGCCCGGAGCAGCGGCTGCCAGGCTGGGAGCGGCCAGGCCCGGGGGAGCAGGCGGGTCGGGTGCGGCCAGGCCCGGAGCAGCGGCTGTCAGGCTGGGAGCGGCCAGGCCCGGGGGAGCAGGCGGGTCGGGTGCGGCCAGGCCCGGAGCAGCGGCTGCCAGGCTGGGAGCGGCCAGGCCCGGTGGAGCAGTCGGGTCGGGTGCGGCCAGGCCCGGAGCAGCGGCTGCCAGGGTGGGAGCGGCCAGTCCCGGGGGAGCCGGCGGGGCTGGTGCGGCCAGGCCCGGAGCAGCGGCTGCCAGGCTGTGAGCGGCCAGGCCCGGGGGAGCAGGCGGGTCGGGTGCGGCCAGGCCCGGAGTAGCGGCTGCCAGGCTGGGAGCGGCCAGGCCCGGGGGAGCAGGCGGGTCGGGTGCGGCCAGGCCCGGAGCAGCGGCTGCCAGGCTGTGAGCGGCCAGGCCCGGGGGAGCAGGCGGGTCGGGTGCGGCCAGGCTGGGAGCGGCCAGGCCCGGAGCAGCCGCAGCCAAGTCCAGAGCAACTAGGTCGGGAGCGGCAGTGACCAGACCCGGAGCAGCTGGTTGTGGAATGAACCAGAGCAACAGAGGCCAGGCCCTGAGCAGCCAGGCCCAGAACAGCTCGCTCCTTGCCTGCCCCTGCCCCACGGCTGCTTCTCAGACATGGCTGGAAACTTTCGTGGGAACTTGAGGGTCTGCTGAATCAAGTGATGAAGGCTTAGATCTGGATGTGTTGAGTTAGTTTAGGACTGGGGTGTTGATCTGTGAGTGCCTTGGGTGGGGCCTGGATGAGGCTGGTTGACCTAGTGGGAAATATCTTTTGTGTGAAGTG